TAAACAAATCCCGGTCACTGCCATCACATACGCTGGTAGCTTCAACACTGGTAATACCAAAACCTGCAAATTAAAGACTGTACATTAGTTGAAGTAAATAGTATTTTAATTAATAAGTTTGCTAAAACATAAGATGGGGACATACAAATGTCTTTTTTACAACATGGGAAGACTTTTTTTAACACAAAATATATTCAGGATATATCATATAATTATTGCTAACATATATATGTTTATCCACATAATGGGCACATATACATCATCAAAACAACCTGAACCATTGACATTTATTTGTCTTACAATAACAATACATTTATACATGGCATTTATGCGACTTCTTATTTGATAAATCTATACTATAATACTAATTATATCATATCAACCGATGTGTTCTGATTAAATGGAAAGTGACTAATTATTAGAGCAATGTTGCATTTATCACTACATAGCATTTTCTGCTTTGTTTGGTTATTTATTGAAACATCTGTGTTTGTGCAACATAATCATATAAATTGGTTATGCTTTTAATTACCTGATGAGGCTGATGGGATATTGCTGACTTCTGTCGTGGTAATTATAGACCCAGGGCAGTTGAAGGAATCCAGCATACAAGCTGATTCTGGCTGACATGAGGAGGTGTCTGATGTGTCAATGTCTGGTGTTTCTGACGTACGCGACGTTCGACTTTCTTCGGGATGACATAAGGATGCTGTATGATCTGAAAGAATAATATATATGTATATAGTAACAATTAAGAAAACAGACTATTAAGCCTCTTTATTATAATATTTCAATCAATGTAATAACCAGTCTGCTGGTACACATCAGTAAGACATATATTACTGTAAGAACTGCAATATCATTATCAATTGGGGTGTTTTTTTTGCGGGGGGGGGATATTTTGTTGTTGTAAACAATATATGTTAGGATGTCCTGGAGAACTCTGTAGGTAGGGAATGACCAATCAATCAGTATGGATTTCAACAAATTTTATTGGACAAAAAAATGAAAAATTGGATGAGACAACAGGCTTAGCCTATATATAACATTTAGGGTTACTTTTTAATTCTAAAGGTACATGGGGGGGATCATATTCATGATATTTTTAATAAAGCTTGTATTAGACTAAACATATTGAGAATGCCTAAATANTTCATTGTTTCCTTTGTGATATGCTGTTATACAATATAAACGACTTTTCTATTTGAGATACATGTCTACCGTTTTGTATTTCCCCTCAGTATCAGTAGCAAATAGGCAGGCATTGTGTGTATGTATCTTTTTTCTTTTTCAAGTTAGAGTTGTCTCCACATTGTACGTACTTATAACAAGAAAATATTTTACGGAAAGTGCCAACGGTTCTCGATTCGTGTCTTGTATGTCTTACATATAATATGAGACATGCTATATATTTCGTATATAATATGGAACATCGTATGTAGTATGTGAGATATCTTAAATTACATATGATATCTGGTATAGAAAGTAAATGAGATATATAACATGCAAAAAGGATCGCTTATATATTACACTAGAAACATTAAATTGAAAAAAAAGACAAAATATATCTATTTACTTCACCGCTGCGCGATGTCGCTTTAAAATACCTCACATACCACAATAACTATCTCATTTCTTTTATGAAATATCGTTCATATAGAAATTATTTCATATTGAACAAAATTTCTTTGCATTAAAACAGTTTCTTCTTGAATATTCGGAACGTATCTGCAAAATCGCAGGAAAGGATCTTTATTGGATAAACTCTAGCAGTGTTATTGTAAAAAAGCTAAACTGTTCCTTTACCTATGGTAGATGTTCTTCCCGAAATTATAGCTACAGCAAGTCATGCATGCATACAAATCAATTTTCAATTATATAAAGAGATCAGTGCTGTAAATGTCTAATATTTTGGCAATTATGTACATATTATATATTAGATTATTCAAGTACATGATTTAAAACGCAGTTCAGTAGAAAAATTAAGTTAAATTGAAAAAGAGGATTTATTACCTTCATTTTGTGTTATATTTTTCATTTGATCTGTTAAGCTTCATTATCATATGCGTTCACACTCCGATGGTATTACAGGTAAAATAAAATTGGCTTTCCTTTGTTACTAANAATTGTCTTTCCTTTGTTGCTCGCAATCCATTGTCCTTTTGATATGACAGATGTGGCCGCGATATGATACAGCCCTGGAGGCAAATATTGTTTTAATACAAACATTATTACTGTTATACACAATACCTCCGTGAATATCAATAAACAGATATGCGTTTTATTCTATTTGTTTTTAGGTATATACACTGTTACTTGGATTTGTCTAGGTATATCATATTGTATTTCAAATATGGACTAAATGTGCCCCACTTTTAGAAGATTTGATGTTTTTAATATTCTTTTATAAAAAATATATATTTTATAAAACAGCTATTCCAGAAGGGATGATATAGGGCTAACAAAAGTGATTACTGTAAGTTGAAATAACTTATTTCATAATTGTCATATAAAGTTATATGTTTCAGTAGTAGCAGTCTTACAATGCAGCCCCTTACGTATTGACATCAAAGCTTACGGATGATTCCCCACTATAGCATCCAGGGGTTACACTCACCTACCCTCTCTGTACCCCTGGGCTATGTCATGGCCCAATTGGAGGCATGGAGACAGCCATTTGATTGGTGTCGGGTAAAAACCCCTGATCAATCGCTTGGCTGATCCTTGTCCTTTCAAGATTACAGAGGAGCGATACCTGACTTCAAAGCCAGTCAAGTTAACCGTTATGCTGCTCCGCGATTCTTTTGAAGAATCAGACTAGTCAGCGTGACTCCTTGAGTGTCGATGATGCCACTATATCATCTCTTATAATAATGAGAAATTTCTGGGTAGATGCATCTTGTGGGTAACTAAACCATTTACGACGGGTTTCAACTGGGAAGGATCCAAAACATTTTGCTGTTTTTCAGCTGAATTTATCCTTCTTTTGTAATTAAGATGTTATTTGAAAGTAAATAAATCAACTTATTAAAAAACCCATTTAGCTTTAAACGTTCAAGTGAATTATGTCCCTATCTTATTCCTTTAGGAAGCCCGTTCTCCTCTGTTCTAATGACTGTTGTATGAATAAGCAAGAATCGTGTACATGATTCGGCCCTCATAATTCATTGTCTGCATCAAATATAATGATACTTAATTGACTGCACAACAGAAGAGAATATTTCTTCATTCTCAATAAGCGATTTCAATGATTAAAGATTGTCATGGAGATTTGACGATAGAAAACATTAAGATCTAAAACAATGGTTAACAGAATAAAAGCAATTTTTTGATTATTTTTACATACCCTTGTCAACTTGGTCAACCTTTGTTCGTTTTTCTGTCCAAAAAATTGTCGGTATTTTTAAAATTCTAGGTTTAAGTGTCCACGGTTAAAAATATCACCATGCACCTTTTATAAAATAATGATATTCTAATGAAAACAATGTGTTACCCAATAAGTTTACGAAGCATTGTCATAACATTGTCACACCAAACTACAGGTTTTTAACAAAAGAAAAGCACCACCTATGTTTTACTCCTTTATTATTGTATTGTACCTGATGAAAACGTGTAACTATGATGACAACGTGTTACTATGATGATTACGTGTAACTATGATGAAAACGTGTAACTATGATGATTACGTGTAACTATGATGATTACGTGTTACTATGATGGTTACGTGTAACTATGATGAAAACGTGTAACTATGATGATTACGTGTAACTATGATGATTACGTGCTACTTGTAAAATGTAACAATGGTTTTATAGTGTCACCATGGTGATGTAATGTCACTGTAGTGATATATTGTAACTATGGCGATGAACTGCAACCATGGCAATATATTGTAACTATTGCGATATGGTTATAAAATGTTTCTATTGTGATATAGTGTAACTATGGTAATATGGTGTTATTATGGTGATTAAGTGTAACTTTGGTTGTATAGTGTAACTTTGCCGAAATAGCATAATTGTGATGATATAGAGTAACTATTATGATATAGTATAACTATGGTGACAACAATTAACTATGGTTCTTTAGTATTAATTTATTGCAACTATGGTGATAGCGTGTAACCGTGGTGATATTGTTTACATTTTGATAAAATGTAGCTGGGCTTGAAAAAATATTAAAATGTGCTTCGCGTCATTTTATGTGTGTACACATACACTTAGTAATGGAGATAATTGTATCGTTATGTATTATATCTGAATATTGTAAAAATCAGAATAAAAAATACCGAAAAGAAAGTTTCTGCAGAAAGTACATACTAAGCATACCCGGTATTTTTCTTTTCTTTTTTAATATAATGCTATTATGATAATTTTATCGATTTGAGTTTCATTGTGATGTGCTGTGTAACGCAGCTTGATACTTATTGTATATGGGTAAGGAAATAACAAATCTTGTTTATTTAGGTTGATACATTTCCCATGTTTTTAAAGTTGTAATGTGACAGACAAAACCCCAGGAAAATGTGTTATAAACCTCTGATTTGTTAGAATTTTGGTTTTATTTTATTCACATTTAACTTGTGATTTAGTTATAGAATAAATATTTTACATCCTAGTGTTAAAATGTATTTGTGCAACGTAAAATATGATATTACTGATTCATATGCGAAATAAAGTGAAAGAATTACCGATGTTTAATATCAAATATTACTTTTCAGTAAAATAAGATTATTAACTCATCAACATACACTTACTAATGTAGCTTCACTATAATGTTAAACAAAGTTGTACGGTGTTTCACACTCACATCACATCACTGTTGATTACAATGGTTTGTTACCAATGTGTAAGTAGGTTAGTCAGAGACATTAAAACAAAATGTTTATGTTACAGTGATACAGTTTACTAAGTGTTTACCGAAGAAAATTTCAGTAATTTACAGGAAAATAGAAATTCTGGATATTTCTGAGACTTTGAATAAAAAAGCAAGAGACGTGATAAGAAAACTATAGTTTATTTGGAATTCTCGACAATAGCACTGTGTTTGACATAGACGTGATACGTTTATTTCCTCTCACACACATACATACTCCACATTCCACACATACACACATGATTGCACGTGATATAGTTTACACATCACACACACACACTTTCTCACTGCAGCCTGATATCGCTGTTAATATGTCAGCCATTCAGTATACATAATACCATCACATACAAACAAAAGTAAAAACGAAAATGCATTCTTGTGTCAACTTCATGTATACCAAATTACATAAATTTTCCATAATTTCTATATTGTACGTATTTGTAGCTTGCGTAACTTTCCTTATCTTATGGAAAGGTCCGAAGCAAACCAGCACTTAATTTTTATTGGTTAAGTGGTTGTTTTCATATAATATAATAATTGCGTAAATTGTAACCAAATATTAATGGCATAAGTATGGCAAAATTAGAATTAGTCCCATATATACTTAAAAAAACTATTGCATATCTGTGATAGCGAGATTAATCTCCCTTCTATCTGTGTTCTACCATACAAAACGTTTCCAACAGATCGTTGAAAACAGTATTAAATTATCACTCACTACTCATATTTTGACACTCGAAAAACTTACAACGATATATGCCAAATAAACGAATGACATGATCTCCACCCGAATTCGGTTGCTCACAAAAATCATCATCCGCAACACATACAAACAAATATATGCCTGACGGTGTCGAGACAATTCAACCAAAACAAAGACCTTGACAAACTCGTAAGTCAACGCACAGTATTTCGAATCTCTGAACTCTTCTGTTTTCAGAACACCACTTTTAGTTTCGCATATATCCAATACGTGTTCATCATCACCAGCAAGTAAGAAAATATGATAAAAAGAAAAGCCTAAATCATTCTGGTCGAAATGACTTGGATATGTTGTAATATATCTACTTGTTGTAATTACGTCATAATATAAACATAAAATCATATGAAAACACTAAGACAGACTAGAAGAGTTAATGATAATATATCTGATAATATTATTCATCCTGATTAAATATCTAATTCAAACATACTCTAGATAGTTATTTCCGATTATCACAATAAAGAGAAAAATATACCTAACATCACGTGTGGGTGATCCATATTGTTTGGTTGGTTGACTTATTAAACGTCACCACATATGATATTGAAATATAATCACTTTTATTTACTATGTTTCTCTTTGAGATGAAAACAGGAAATATATCTGCATGGAATATCAAACTGAACAATATCTGGAATGTAACATTTGAACCTTTATGATAGAGGGGCTGCTGTTAAACAGTAGATAAGGTATACACAACATATATGCAGGTTGACTTAAGAAACGAAATTCAACGTATAACGACTTGACAGTTGTATAATTATAAAAGAATTTGAAGTCAATGATCAGCAAAATATTGATTAGCAAAATAACAATTATTTTGCGTGTGCCTGTCAATTAAAGGATATGATAATAATTTGAGATTCCAAGAACATCGTTTTCTACTTTACAGATGACACATGTATATCTATAAATGGCTTGTTCTGTTTAACTACAATAAATACTGTACGTCATGTTTATTATTTAAACATATTTAACAAACAAAAAAATGGTTTCAGTAACAAGTAAAACGATTTCGACACTATTTCTATGAAAAGTAATGTTTTGAAAATTTGGAAAATAAAAAGAAATCTTTTTTTTTCATTGCAAAAGTGTATACACAAGTTATAATGCCAGCTCCTAATATCGGGTACAATGACTCTTTCTAGGAAATGACATATTGATATCTAACAAAAGCACTGAATGTTGTTATATCTTTATGAGACAGCTGTTAACTTAATATATATTGGTCTGTTTGGAATGTAGAATAGCAGTAACATAATATTATATAAAGAAATCTCGTAAATAAATCCAGCCTGCTATAAACCTAGAATGCAAATTTTAGGGCATTTTTATACCGAAACAAATATTCTGAACCGGATAAAATGGTAGTGTGTGATCCAGCTTTCGTCTGCTATATAAAACTTTAATTAGCAGTACATACGTTTGGTTTGTTTAAGAAGTCCTATTCTATGGAGGAAACACACAAAATGGCATTAATTATGTCAAATCGATTTTCCAAACACTTGTTTGTCTGTGTGAAAATATATCTTATTTTCTGTGTGAAAATACATCTTATTTTCTGTATGAAAATAAATATTATTTTCAGTGTTAAATTAAAAAGTATTTTCTGTGTGAAAATAATTCTAACCATGGCATGATGCCAGGACGATGTTATTATAGGCATTAATAAACTAATAAAAATAATACTATATAAACTTTTCTGAAGATATCTAAAATAAAATTTCTTATCGTCAAGCTCATTCGATATACCTTTCTCTGTATATCGACTTACTCGTTTAGACTGGTGTAGATCATCTTAGTGATAAGAGCTGTTTTGTGTGATCGACAATAACATGTTACTAATTTGCTACTAGATAACCACTGTTAATGGTTTCAGTGACAGAACGCGTACAGTTTAAGTACAGCTACATGTTTCTAAATTGTAAACCTCGCCTTAATGTCCTTTAACATTAAAAATTTAAACGGGATATGTATTTCAAATATTAATTTATAAAGTAAAGTTAAAATGGAGGGGGGGGGGGGAGGGGGCAATGCGTGCAACTTTAATCACAACGTTACAGCACTGAATTAAAATACTATATATTAATGTGTGTCACCAATTTACATACAGAATTAACATTATATGTCACACTGTCATATACATCGTAAGGCACTTGTAATACATGCACCAACTGTTTATATTGAAATATATATTAATTTTATCAAAATACATAGAGAAACATCGTATTGTGCCGGAAAGAGTGTCACATTCAATCAGTATTCATAATTTTTCCACATTTTCGTCGTCAAACGCATATGTCTATTTTTTTGTTATGTTTAAATTGCTTTTATTCTCGAGTATCTTTTTGAGGAACGATAAGATTGGAAGCGATGGACTCGTATTTTTTACATCGCTATTTTCAATAGCCATGATTAGATATATATTTTTTTTCAAATGCAATGTCTTGTTTGTATTTTCCTGCGACAACACGACAGGTGTAATAATCCAATGTGGTATGAAACTGGGGAAAGGTCCTTCACAACATCAGAAACAAGAAATTAAATTAATAAAGATACATTGTAGGTCTTAATATGTTGTTATCATTTTCCCGAAAAACGACGGAAAATAACGAAGAGAACTACCAATTGGCGGAAATGATATATAACATTTGTGTCAGAATAATAAAATACTTACTTAGTAGACAAATGCAATGAATATGTATTTATCTATTTGTCACATCACGGTGTATTTTCAGGGTTAGCGTGAAGACCCGATGGATGAATGAATGATGAGGATCATATATGTCATATACACTGTATATGTGGTAAAAGCTGGAATGCTTCAGACAGAATAGTACGTATTGCAGTCATTCACTTACTTTTCATTATGAGTAACCCGAATTTCCTTGAAACGAAAAGTTTTCAACAGGCCATCCCAAGAAATCAAAGAATCATATTCTACTACAAAAATGTTGTATTATAAAAAAATCCAAAATGGCAAAACTTATTTCCCCAATATTTTTTAGAATGTATAAAGTTTAAATTTGGTTTGTGCTTGTGCCCCGCCTACTTATATTACACTTGACCATCGAACTCGCTTTGTAAGATCAATAGAACCGCCCAGTTACGTAACATAGCACCGCCGCCCTGTGAGTATGCTGTTGTTCTAAACTTTCAGGTATGATCACTACTTCTGTTATGTAAGATCTTCAGCTCTGCCAGATAAGATCAATAGTTCTGCCACGTAAGACCTTTCTCTTCTTCAGTTAAGATAACTAATTATGCGTGTAAGATCCCTAACTTCGACTTGGGAGATCACATTCTCCGCCTAGTTACACAGTTCTGCCCTGCAGAATCCCTAGTTCCACCATGTTAACTGTAGCTCCACCCTGTATGATCATTGCTCCGCCATGTTAACTGTAGCTCCACCCTGTATGATCATTTGCTCCGCCATGGTAACTGTAGCTCCCCCCTGTATGATCATTTGCTCCGCGATGGTAACTGTAGCTCCACCCTGTATGATCATTTGCTCCGCCATGGTAACTGTAGCTCCACCCTGTATGATCACTTGCTCCGCCATGGTAACTGTAGCTCCACCTTGTATGATCATTGCTTCGCCATGTTAACTGTAGCTCCACCCTGTATGATCATTTGCTCCGCCATGTTAACTGTAGGGTCACTTGCTCCGTTCTGTATGATCACTAGCACCGTTCTGCAATATAGCAAAATCTCCGCGCGATAAGACCACCGGATTCGACATGTTAAACATAGCTCCGCCCTGTTAGGAAACATTACTTTGCTATATTTAAGCTTCCCACTTTAGATGGAATAACTCTTAATCAAGAACCTAGCAACAAGTAAGGTTGATCTACTTCAATGCTGCAATATTCCTCAACGAACATAACTCCGCCCGTTTTCATGTTGTAATTCCATCCCGTTAGAACACTTTGCATATTCACTATGCATAGTACCGCCTTGTGTCAGTCAAAATGAATAAATCCCGCCCACATACGTGTTTAAGTGCCCCTATTATTATCCTCAGAAATGATCATCTTCTATCACATCGCTGATGTCGTTTCCATTTTGTATACATATGTAAATCTCCTTCAGAATTTTGATGACACGTCTATCAAGCGCTATTAGATGGTTCTGGATGAGGACTGGGAATAATTTGTCACGTGACGTTTCTGCTTTCATCAATGCTGAAAGTTTATCCGGTCCTATGTAGAACTTGGCAAGCTTCATGAACGTTGAGTACCTGATCTTGCAGCACTGGAACACAGGGGCAAGGATGCTCATATCGTCCAGTCGCCATTTTCCAAACCTGCGAATACAAATTTAAAGCCATACAAAAACAAAATAGACAGTCCAAAACCTCTTTTTGTTTTCACTATCTCGAGGAAGCAGTAATGCATTTTTTTTCATTCAGAAAATGCATTATAGTGAAACTTGGCTAAAGCAACCGTATGGACTTGACGAGATGCTGTCATTTTATTTAAACAACTGTAACCCCTTTCTTCTCTACACTACCAAACAAGACCTCCTGTGTATTCTGTAACCCTGTCTTCTCTACACTACCAAACAAGACCTCCTTTGTATTCTGTAACCCTGTCTTCTCTACACTACCAAACAAGACCTCCTGTGTATTCTGTAACCCTGTCTTCTCTACACTACCAAACAAGACCTCCTGTGTATTCTGTAACCCTGTCTTCTCTACACTACCAAACAAGACCTCCTGTGTATTCTGTAACCCTGTCTTCTCTACACTACCAAACAAGACCTCCTGTGTATTCTGTAACCCTGTCTTCTCTACACTACCAAACAAGACCTCCTGTGTATTCTGTAACCCTGTCTTCTCTACACTACCAAACAAGACCTCCTGTGTATTCTGTAACCCTGTCTTCTCTACACTACCAAACAAGACCTCCTGTGTATTCTGTAACCCTGTCTTCTCTACACTACCAAACAAGACCTCCTGTGTATTCTGTAACCCTGTCTTCTCTACACTACCAAACAAGACCTCCTGTGTATTCTGTAACCCTGTCTTCTCTACACTACCAAACAAGACCTCCTGTGTATTCTGTAACCCTGTCTTCTCTACACTACCAAACAAGACCTCCTGTGTATTCTGTAACCCTGTCTTCTCTACACTACCAAACAAGACCTCCTGTGTATTCTGTAACCCTGTCTTCTCTACACTACCAAACAAGACCTCCTGTGTATTCTGTAACCCTGTCTTCTCTACACTACCAAACAAGACCTCCTGTGTATTCTGTAACCCTGTCTTCTCTACACTACCAAACAAGACCTCCTGTGTATTCTGTAACCCTGTCTTCTCTACACTACCAAACAAGACCTCCTGTGTATTCTGTAACCCTGTCTTCTCTACACTACCAAACAAGACCTCCTGTGTATTCTGTAACCCTGTCTTCTCTACACTACCAAACAAGACCTCCTGTGTATTCTGTAACCCTGTCTTCTCTACACTACCAAACAAGACCTCCTGTGTATTCTGTAACCCTGTCTTCTCTACACTACCAAACAAGACCTCCTGTGTATTCTGTAACCCTGTCTTCTCTACACTACCAAACAAGACCTCCTGTGTATTCTGTAACCCTGTCTTCTCTACACTACCAAACAAGACCTCCTGTGTATTCTGTAACCCTGTCTTCTCTACACTACCAAACAAGACCTCCTGTGTATTCTGTAACCCTGTCTTCTCTACACTACCAAACAAGACCTCCTGTGTATTCTGTAACCCTGTCTTCTCTACACTACCAAACAAGACCTCCTGTGTATTCTGTAACCCTGTCTTCTCTACACTACCAAACAAGACCTCCTGTGTATTCTGTAACCCTGTCTTCTCTACACTACCAAACAAGACCTCCTGTGTATTCTGTAACCCTGTCTTCTCTACACTACCAAACAAGACCTCCTGTGTATTCTGTAACCCTGTCTTCTCTACACTACCAAACAAGACCTCCTGTGTATTCTGTAACCCTGTCTTCTCTACACTACCAAACAAGACCTCCTGTGTATTCTGTAACCCTGTCTTCTCTACACTACCAAACAAGACCTCCTGTGTATTCTGTAACCCTGTCTTCTCTACACTACCAAACAAGACCTCCTGTGTATTCTGTAACCCTGTCTTCTCTACACTACCAAACAAGACCTCCTGTGTATTCTGTAACCCTGTCTTCTCTACACTACCAAACAAGACCTCCTGTGTATTCTGTAACCCTGTCTTCTCTACACTACCAAACAAGACCTCCTGTGTATTCTGTAACCCTGTCTTCTCTACACTACCAAACAAGACCTCCTGTGTATTCTGTAACCCTGTCTTCTCTACACTACCAAACAAGACCTCCTGTGTATTCTGTAACCCTGTCTTCTCTACACTACCAAACAAGACCTCCTGTGTATTCTGTAACCCTGTCTTCTCTACACTACCAAACAAGACCTCCTGTGTATTCTGTAACCCTGTCTTCTCTACACTACCAAACAAGACCTCCTGTGTATTCTGTAACCCTGTCTTCTCTACACTACCAAACAAGACCTCCTGTGTATTCTGTAACCCTGTCTTCTCTACACTACCAAACAAGACCTCCTGTGTATTCTGTAACCCTGTCTTCTCTACACTACCAAACAAGACCTCCTGTGTATTCTGTAACCCTGTCTTCTCTACACTACCAAACAAGACCTCCTGTGTATTCTGTAACCCTGTCTTCTCTACACTACCAAACAAGACCTCCTGTGTATTCTGTAACCCTGTCTTCTCTACACTACCAAACAAGACCTCCTGTGTATTCTGTAACCCTGTCTTCTCTACACTACCAAACAAGACCTCCTGTGTATTCTGTAACCCTGTCTTCTCTACACTACCAAACAAGACCTCCTGTGTATTCTGTAACCCTGTCTTCTCTACACTACCAAACAAGACCTCCTGTGTATTCTGTAACCCTGTCTTCTCTACACTACCAAACAAGACCTCCTGTGTATTCTGTAACCCTGTCTTCTCTACACTACCAAACAAGACCTCCTGTGTATTCTGTAACCCTGTCTTCTCTACACTACCAAACAAGACCTCCTGTGTATTCTGTAACCCTGTCTTCTCTACACTACCAAACAAGACCTCCTGTGTATTCTGTAACCCTGTCTTCTCTACACTACCAAACAAGACCTCCTGTGTATTCTGTAACCCTGTCTTCTCTACACTACCAAACAAGACCTCCTGTGTATTCTGTAACCCTGTCTTCTCTACACTACCAAACAAGACCTCCTGTGTATTCTGTAACCCTGTCTTCTCTACACTACCAAACAAGACCTCCTGTGTATTCTGTAACCCTGTCTTCTCTACACTACCAAACAAGACCTCCTGTGTATTCTGTAACCCTGTCTTCTCTACACTACCAAACAAGACCTCCTGTGTATTCTGTAACCCTGTCTTCTCTACACTACCAAACAAGACCTCCTGTGTATTCTGTAACCCTGTCTTCTCTACACTACCAAACAAGACCTCCTGTGTATTCTGTAACCCTGTCTTCTCTACACTACCAAACAAGACCTCCTGTGTATTCTGTAACCCTGTCTTCTCTACACTACCAAACAAGACCTCCTGTGTATTCTGTAACCCTGTCTTCTCTACACTACCAAACAAGACCTCCTGTGTATTCTGTAACCCTGTCTTCTCTACACTACCAAACAAGACCTCCTGTGTATTCTGTAACCCTGTCTTCTCTACACTACCAAACAAGACCTCCTGTGTATTCTGTAACCCTGTCTTCTCTACACTACCAAACAAGACCTCCTGTGTATTCTGTAACCCTGTCTTCTCTACACTACCAAACAAGACCTCCTGTGTATTCTGTAACCCTGTCTTCTCTACACTACCAAACAAGACCTCCTGTGTATTCTGTAACCCTGTCTTCTCTACACTACCAAACAAGACCTCCTGTGTATTCTGTAACCCTGTCTTCTCTACACTACCAAACAAGACCTCCTGTGTATTCTGTAACCCTGTCTTCTCTACACTACCAAACAAGACCTCCTGTGTATTCTGTAACCCTGTCTTCTCTACACTACCAAACAAGACCTCCGGTGTATTCTGTAACCCTGTCTTCTCTACACTACCAAACAAGACCTCCGGTGTATTCTGTAACCCCTGTCTTCTCTACACTAACAAACAAGACCTCCTGTGTATTCTGTAACCCCTGTCTTCTCTACACTACCAAACAAGACCTCCTGTGTATTCTGTAACCCTGTCTCTTACACCTGTATGGTGTATCCTAGGGAATTTTAACTTAGAAATTATACTGTATAATTGTTTTACCTTCCCACCTCCTTAGAGTATGTCAGGAATAATATTGTGTTTATATATAAAATGATACTGATGGTGTTAATATTAACAATTGTCTACTTTTACTTTCCCAGTATGCTGATGACACTTATTTGGTTTTTGATTGCACACAAAGTTCATCAAAAGAGGCATTTAAAGAATTGAAAAGTTTTGCATATATTTCTGGACTTAAAAATGATTACGTTATACAAAATGAAGTGACGAATTGACACCTTTTGGCTTGCGTATGATGTAGATACGCATAAGATAGCAAAGCGAATTCCAAAAAGAAATTGGTAAACCTCAGCACATTTTGACAACCAATGTATATTTTGTTAAAGTAGGAATAGTATATAGCCCTTAATATGAGCTGTGTAACATCGAATAGAGAAAATAAAGCATGTGACAAAGTACAAACTCTACTACAAAATTTTGAGTTCTAATTAGACGCATTAATTATTCCATAACATTTTAATTTCCCGATTATATGTCTTATCCTATTAAATCTTTTATTATTTAGAAAAGAAGATACAGAATTGAAAAATAGTATCCAAATAACCGTGCTACTGACACCTATTTATAACAGGGGTTACGTCCTTTACCTTTTCATGTTTCATATTTAAATTTTTCAGTCGATCGGTCTGTTTGTCCGTCTGTCTTTCTACCCGTCTTTTCTGTCTGTCTCTCTAGTCTGTCTGTCTATCTGACTCTCTGTCGCTCTTTCCGTTTACTTCTCTTTAGTTCTTCCATTTCTTTGTTTTCTTGTTTCTCATTTTCTTTCTTTTCTAATATATCATTACAATAAATAAAATGCCACTTACAAAAAAGTAATATGGATTAGTGTGAATGTATGTGTGAAAGTGGAATGTATTGTGTATTATGAATTGTACGTGTTATTTTTATGTGGAAAAAAATCTGAACCCCCCCCCCCCCCCCCCCCCAAAAAAAACACAACTTTAATTATACTGCGTGAAATATGAGGAAAAACTAATGAAAATCTAAAGCTAAATCTCAAGTGACCTAAAAAACGTGATTTGCCATTATAGTATGATGTTGAACATGTTTATATTTAAAATTTCGGCAAAACGAGTAAAACAGCCTCTCTGGTATGATACCTAGATCTCCGTACATATATGCAAACTGATGCTAAGGGAGCGAACTCATGGTAGTTACGTAAAAAGTTTTTGTGAGCCAAACAGTTGCACCATTTGAGCTAGGAAACTGAATCCTGCCGCCCGCAAAGCGAAAGAAAAAATATCTATCTGATAATGCCTGTTTAATAGAGAAAGCAGACGTACGAGGCGGGTGTGCGTGGCTTGTAATGAGGTCTGTTCACACTACATTGAGAGTAGGATGTTGGGCCAAGACACATTGAAAACACATAAATCTCGAACAGATTTAGATGTTAGAATATTCCACTATGCAAAGACCACAAATACTATTCTGTCGTAACCATTTATTAAATCACTTTATTTGCTCCCCAAAGTTTCATTAGTAGCTGCACCTCATATCCCTTCATCACTATTAAATATAAACCAAAAAACATGGTATATTATTTAATTGATAGTAGCAGATGCGAAGTCTGATGTGGGGTCCAGGTTGAGTAGGGTGGTCAGCAAATTATGTAATTTCCGAAAAAAAATGATATCATATTTCAATCAAATAAATTGCATAACGTTTATTTTGAAAAAAAACCCAGATTGTAATTGAAAATAATGTTCATAATATTATATTTCGACAAAAATTATAAGCAAGACTTGGGAACCATTCCTGCAAACACAGAAATCCGTCTGGAATCGAATTAATTCACACATTCCCAACATGCCCTTTAATTACCAAACGAGTTTGATTGCAAAATAATTTCAACGATTTTTGTTTTGAAAGCAAATGTTGAAACGGCATTCGATTGAAAGCTTTATCACTTGTGACAATGATTAATCAAGTCCTATCATGAACATTTAATTAACTGATGACGGATACGGTAACACTGATTAAGTGGTACTCCTATGTTTATATGCCTATGCATGTTTTTTTCTTAAAACTTTAATATTTAACCTAAATTCATCAATGAAATATATGCTACAACGTTACACATTCCTTTTTTAAAGAACAGCTACTAGTTTAAGTGTATACGTCAATACGTGTACTCACTTCTTACGTACTTATATACAAGTTTTATCAAAATGCCAGTCTACTCCACCAATCGTAAGGATCAGTATTAAGTCCCCTGCCTTTAGGCATCAGTTGGTATGGTAATAGGTATGGGAGAGGCCCGTCACACTTTCAGCCTTGTGCATAGATATCAAACCGTCATTTACCATGCAAATCTATTCCCCGATGCATTCAACGGAGACTGGACGGAATTAAGTATTGATAATATCATTCTAAATATGTATTTATTTCATAATTTCATAAATAAGTTTAATTATTGATATGTTGTAAGGCGAGTTAAAATTGTCCAATCAAAAAATGTGTACTAAGTAAACCTATTCCTTTGAGGTTCAAATCACAGAACTTTGGATATGAATTGTAATGTATTAAGTATTTAATGATTTATAACCTTAATCCTTTGTTGAAAGGATATCTTCATAAGTTATAACAATCTGTTTGTTCCAAATACAATTCTTGACAATAAAAGTTTTCATAGTCAAACTCGAAGGTTTATGGTTAACACATATTTGACATCTATACATTGCAGCCAGCGATTGCTTGAATGATATCTCATGACCTTTCTTAATATACATTACATTACCTTGGCACAGTTCTCATGACCTTTCTTATTATTCATTACATTAACTGGGAACTGTTCTCGTGACCTTTCCTATTATACATTATATCACCTGGGCACAGATCTCATGACATTTCCTATTATACATTACATCAACTGGGAACTGTTCTTATGACCTTTCCTATTATACATTACAATACCTGGGCACAGATCTCGTGACCTTTTCTATTATACATTACAATACCTGGGAACTGTTCTCATGACCTTTCCTATTATACATTTCATTTCCTAGGCAGATATCTGATGACCTTTCCTATTATACATTACATTTCCTGGGAACTGTTCTCATGACCTTTCCTATTATACATTACATTACCTGGGCAGATATCTGATGACCTTTCCTATTATACATTACAATACTTGGGAACTGTTCTTATGACCTTTCCTATTATACATTACAATACCTGGGAACTGTTCTCATGACCTTTCCTATTATACATTACATTACCTGGGCAGATATCTGATGACCTTTCCTATTTTACATTACATTACCTGGGCACAGTTCTCTTGACCTTCCCTATTATACATTACAATACCTGTGCACAATTCTCATTACCTTCCTTAATGAACGACTAAATTCATGCCAATAATTCTACTCCTTTAACGCGGAACCATGTTAAACCAGATACATGTATTCCGGACTATTTGCATTCTGGCCATCTACATGTATATACGTTACACTCTTTGTACATTGAGCGGGTCACAATCGTTATTTTGTTCAGTAATGAAAAGTTCAAATGAACCAAGTTCCACACTTCAGGGACTAAAACAGCGGGTACTTACGATCGTCCGTTATCAAGATGGAGATGGAACGTGTCGTTGCCAAAATCTTTGAACGTTTCGTAGTGATGTCTGTCCAAATTGCCTGAAACAAATATAGAAATGCTGTAACGACGTCCATATTATAATTATGGTGGGTGTATTTAAAATAGTTACATGAAACGTGTCTAATGATTTCATATTTTTTTTATTTAAAATACATTCTCAGTGTTTTTATGTAAAGTTGTCAGGTGTGTCACCTTTATAATGTTTGTACCTCTGCAGATTTAGAAACATGAGATATTACCCTGTATTATATAATTTAATAGTATGAGGCGATTGATGTGTTACCTCGACATAATTAGGTGTGGGGTGTTCTTCAAAGCCTCGATTTGGCGACACCGTAGTGACCAAATTCGAGCGACCCCCACCCCACTCCCGCAACCTAACCGTGTCTATCGTGACACCTTTCATCGTGAAACACTATAAAATGTTCCCCTGCTGGTCCCATTACAGTACAACAGTTGTCATATAACCTTAGCTGTTGTGAAGAGGTCAAGTGCAATTTACACGAAATTGATAAAGCTCGATCCCAACTCTCCTGAAGAAAAGTAAGACAACCATTTCATGCTTTATGCAGCGTGCACATCGAACAAAATCGATAGCCCAGCCGATAGATCTTCTCACTTTTTTATTCAGATGTTTTCCCTTTCATACATGAATGCGTCTATCCTTTCTTTATTTCCTAAAACATTTTTTTGAAAGCAATTAAAGGCTATAATGACGTCAATGTTGCTACTACATGGCCCGGCGTATATGTTGTACTGAATTATCATTCTTATTCCTACGACGATTAGGTGTGCGCCAACATCTCTCGTCCCTGTGAAAATTCTTGTATATTATTCCATTCTAATTTGTGCTAGGATAGACATTTTACATGAGAAGCCATGGCGTTTATATGAAACATCTTCATAGTAATAATTAACCAAGTCTCTTAATTGGATGAAACTGTCTAACATGGATATGCAATTATTATGTAAATGCAACCTGTCATAAGTGCACACAGTAAAACAGATTCATTCTGCGAGACAAACGCGAGATAAATTAAAACAAATTAATGTCTGCTTAAAAATATACCTTAAATATCTTTGTGTCGTTCATATATAGTAGTTCAAACGAATATCAGAATAAATATGAATAAAACAACCTTTCACCAAAATTATGAAATTACTCGTATTTCTTTAAAGACGTTTGTAAATAAATGTTTTTCTCTCTCTCAAAATGTGTCGTACCACCTTGTACAAGTCACGAAGACATAACTAGGTGAGTTTTATATTATGACATTCATTCCACAACAGGTCATTTACAATTCATCCTGATAAATGACTTGTACGGAATGAATAATTAATTAACACAAACTCAAATTAAAAAAAGAAATAGTTACGAAATAATGTATACAGACATACCCTCTATTTGACAGAAAATGTTTGACAACAGGAAATAGGATGTTGCAGCATAACCGAGAATCTCAAATGCTCTGAATAGTTTCGAGTTGGTTTTGTCCAAAGCGAGAATGCGTAATGTTTATGCTAAACTGAGTCTTTTTGGCGCAATGACAGTTCATTTGTTTGCAAACAATATATTAGGTCAATTCTTTGCAAATATTTATAAATAACGTTTGACATAACTTTTTTTTATCTTTATCACGTTACGTCCGTTCTATTAATCCTATCAAGTTCTAAGAACGCTATGTTCTGTGAGTTCAGACTTTCCCTTGGGAACAGTCCTCAGAACAAGCCTTATTCTTCGTAACTGCTCAAGTAAGACTCTTTGCTAATTATTGCCATCAAGATCAGTCAAAATAATCGACTACAAAACCCAGTTTCGACATAATCTTATACCACTTCAGAAGTGGGCTACATACTGGATGTAAGGTTCAACACAACAAAGCATTATGGCTATCAACAGAAGAAAAGCTCCAACTATTCAAAGGAAAACCTCAGACTTCTATCTACATCAGAATTCCCAATATCTTGGAATCAATTTTAAGCGAACTTCTGAAGTGGACCTCCCAATACAATAAAATACTACAAACCAAGTATCTCCTTTCCTTGGCTTCGTTCGGCGTAACGTACGTAAAACAGTATTCCCAATTTAATTCAAACAGCTTACTGCTCTCTGGTCCGACATGCGCTACACCGATTTTGAAGGCCCCTTCTTCAATAGGAATATTGCAAACGAAATTTGGAAAAATACAGAGACGAGCAGCGCACTTTGAGAAAAAATACAAGAGATAAAGCATGTATCATCCATGCTTCAGGATACTAATGACAGCCATTCTTCGAGAGATGGAGAGATCGATGACTTCTCTTTATATTCAACATCATCCATGGCTGTGAAGCAAGCTATCCCTGCTGACACCACAAAGTCAATGTAGCTCCAAGCTATTCAGATGAGGAGACTCCAAACAACATCATCATACCCGGAACTCGTCAAAATCCCCTACCATATCGTGGACCGGGAACCATTAGAACAGTCTACCGAAATTGCTATGACCAGTTAATTATCAAAACACTTAAAACCTACCCTAGTTTTAAACCACGGCCGTGCCGAGGGAAATCCCCTGGAAGTTGCTTGATATATATTTTCAAGTAGTAAATTCTAAGACATTAAGTCGATACCATACAAATATCGATTAACACAAACCACGAGACCACTTCATGTTTGGGGGTATTACAATAATGTTCGGGTTTATTACAATAATGTTCGGGGGTATTACAATCATGTTTTGGGGTATTATAATAATGTTCGGGTTTATTACAAACATATTTGGGGGTATTACAATAATGTTCGGGGGTATTACAATACAACAATGATTTCTGAATTCCCTTGTTTGAGTGAAAAAGGCCATGAACGTGGTGACCTCTTCAAGATTTTTCATCTTCCCTCACAAAAACATTTCTCCCTCTATCTAATCGACTATTGTTATGCTGTGGTCCCACATTAGCCTACTTGTATTTCTAGAGTTGAAAGATCGCGTCGGATGTGATGACCACTTCGTCCATATTAGGACAACGTCATCGTACGTTCATGATTAACTCAAACACCTAAAATCCCAAACACATACAGGAGCAACGTCGGGCTAATATCATTTTCTCTTTCCGACTTAAGCGTTACATCTTTTACAGAAATCAGCCCTCACAGGTCCCATAGTGTGGCACGCCGAGTTATGAGAACGTGTCAACTCCTGACTTAGAAACCAATAAATAACTTGTGTCTCCGACAGAATGGCAGATTGTGGGTTTTCATTTTCAAATTATTTCCCTCTTTACAATTAATGACTCACATGCAAACGTGACAATGAGTGAAGTACACACTATTTTTTTTTTGTTAGCAGTGATCCTAACCAAATAATCTGTAACTGTTTCCTGTTTTCGTAAAAGTAAATTAAGGATTAAAGTCTTCCAACAGCCAAGCTCATATGACAACTGTGTCCTCTGATGATAGAGCGACTTTAAGGTCATTTTAAAGCGACACCACACTTAAATGTCATAACCTTGACACCGTAGTATGACATTTCACTTGTCACTGTAATGACAACTAGCTAACCAGAAGTGTCTAGAGAGACAGTAATGAAAAGGAAAACTAGATAAATAGAACGGTAAAATGAGAAGTCCGGAGTGTCGTATTGGCTACAGAAGACAAACGTGTATATGTCTCTTTTCTGGGGCTCCGATATATTAAGTGATATCTCCATCATGAAATATTGATATCACTTAATAAATATGTGGTATGGGTTCAACAGTTGATATACAAACATTAAAAATCAACTTTCGTCATTTCATGAACGTTCACATAATATATTATCATTAATTCATTATGGTAATAAGATGATATAACTGCGTGGAAATGATATGATCTAGATAAGTAATTGTTGGTATCACTAAATGAACAATTAATATCGCTAATTCATTCTAGTGATTTCACCAAGTTTGCTTTGAAAACAAAAAGGAGTTGGATACTTATATTGCGAGCTGTCGAAAGCGTCTGTTTCTTTGCCAAGCAAAGAGTGTAAATGACCGGTGTCCAATTTTCCTCTGGATAACTTTTAAACAGACTCTAAACTAAATTCCCGATTCTATACAGGACCACCCATGATTCTGTCACCCAAACCATCAAGAGTTTGAGCATAAGATAACATGAACTTTGGACCTTGCCTTATCGGAACATATGGACATAACTAAAGGCCTATAAAAGCAAACAACATTTGATATAACATAATTATGTCAGATTAAGCTATGTACATGATTAGCACTGAAATATGATTACCTATGAAATATATACGTTTACGGTTTGTTTAGATATGTTTCAATTTTCTTTCTCCTTTAATTTCGCTTTGAATGGTATCTCAATCGGAACCTCTGGTTAGCCGGATTTTATGATGACGTGCATATGGACGAATTGCCTTAAGCGTTGGTCAGGATGTACCATTTCAATGAGACAGAACTTCAAATAAAGAAGAACCTGAGCTGGTGCGATTGGAAGTTGAAACAGTCGGCGTTTGATCTATGATACCCCTACTTGTTTGGTAAAAGGAATTGGTTAATGTGTATCCCGCTGTCTGATAAATCGATCGTAGGAGATAGCTTGTTTAGGTTTCCGCAGAATTTGGACAGCTCTTCTATGACCTCTAGTTGGGAACGTCAAAGAGACATGATCTACTGTGTTCCTATTACAACACTTTTGTCTTCTAACATTGCTTTATTACCCATTCCAGTTGGAGGTGTCTGAACACTTTTGACTTGGCCGTGGTCAACAGTGTGGCTGGTACATTGACATGACCAGTAAATGGTATCATTGTCAGTGAGCCTTACAAAAACAAACCAATACGGTCGATATAAATATAATTCAAAGAGGTACCAATAAAACACGCAAATATTAATGTACCTGTCATGAAGTCAAATACATGAGTGTCCATCAGGTCTAACAGTCGACGACCGGTGTTGTAGGGAGACTTCGTCTTCACTTTATCGCACAAATCATCGTACACCTCCCAGTAGGCTTTGCGGTGTTTGCTGTACGACCGTTTCCACGGGTTACGCCATGTTTTCCGAGCTGCTATCTTTTCAGGAGGAAGGAAAGCCGCCATTGATGATTCGAGTAAATCCGGGGACCCACAGATCGCGTGGCCTGAGTCGCAGTAATACGAACAGCTGCCATGGAAACAGAGATTGTTGGCTGAAATTAAAGAAACCGGTGTTAATGAGTTTAACGTTTATCGCCAAGACATGGTTTTAACAGAATATATCAGTATCGTAAAAGTTCCTATAACCCATCAGTCACTCAATCGAAGCCTGAAAGCCCTACATTTTTCGTATTTAATAAACCTTCCTTGACAGGACGCCCCAGTTTCCAATAAATCAGATTATATTCACAAATAAGAACTAATCACTTAAGAGAAAAAACAACCAACCTTTTAGGGAGGTCAGGAAAAAAGGTTTTAATTTGTTATAAAGGGACTGATTAGTAAAAAAAAAAATAAGAAACCTTGTTATAATGACAAAACCCTAGACTTAATTTCTGCAAAAAAATACAAGCCTTCCGTTATGGCCTACTGCAGCACTAAAATGGGCGCCCCTTCTTTACAGAGTATGATAATTCAGGACTTACTCTCTTTCCAACTCACACCAAAACCAAAAATATTGAAGTCTTATACTGTAATTTTCATAACAGAGCTAAAAATACCGATAAACTACCATTTCTGTAAACGGATTAATGAATAAGTGCTGAATGAGAAGTACATGTATACACTTAATTAATGAGATTCTTTGTACGTTATATTTACATCAGACTGTCGACGTATCCCGTTTACAGTTTTATCTCTCCATAACATGAAAGACGTAATGTTTATTATCGCTCTATGTAAAGTGTTACCATATGTTCCCGTTTGAGCTAGCTCTTTGTGGGTGGGTAATAACATTGATACCGCTATCACAGGGGCCAGGCATCTGTGTGTTATGCTATTTATAAAAGTATATTAAAAATATTCCGTAAACCATTTTATTAACGTGTCCGAACCCTGTGGTCGCCAATTATGTTTATGAAAAACACAGACACCCATGGATTCAGAAAACACATGGACGGTCTTTTCGATGTTGTAATGTACCATAAAGGTTAGTTAAAGGACGGCGAAACAGAACATTGAACATGATAGAAATTCCTGTGCATGTGACACACAAATACAATAAAACTATAAAAACATTAACTTTATTTGTTTTACAACAATTACGAAACAAATTCTATTATCTTATGTTAGTCTTATGCAACAGGAGTACTCTTGAAGTGGTGGGTCCATACATTTTCACGTCCGATCGGGAAATCGAACCTCGGCCGTCTTAGTGAAAGACGACTGCACCACCCGTCCACCCCAATAAAACTCTATATAACTAAGAAAAATTGTATCTGATCCTTTTTGTTTAAGACATTAATAAGATGCATTTCAAACCGTTGGGAAAGGACTTCAACTCCCGCTGTAAGACCCACCTATATAACCAATACATATCAAAGCTTGTTGAGTTTATGTAAGTAAGCATGTTTTACGTATTCCTATCAAAGCTTAGTTCAAACAATACATTAATTTTCAAATAAAAACTAAAGTAAAGAAGTATTAGCGGCATTGGGAAACTAAGTATTTCTATTGAATTAGCTTCAATATTTTTGGTACAATTAGCAATTTAGCCAAGTCAAAACCGACAGTGGAAGTAACAAAAGAACCCCTTCAATTCAGATTTTAAAAAACCCGCATGTTCAACTGTTCAGGATGGTTTTGAGATGTTCCCCCGTGACTACCAATTCCAGCCATCGTATCTAAGGAAGCGCCGACATTTTAGTGTGTGCATTAGATTGCATTTCATGATCATTGTGCGCAAGGCGGCACTTCTATCCAACAGTATACTTTCTCGATCTTTATATAAAAAAAGGTTTTTCAGAAGAGGTGAAGAATATGGAAATGTAAGAAATTATTATTACAAACAAATGCAAAGTATTAGCTAAATAAATCAAATTACCAGTTCACAGTTCGATTAGAACCACTCCATTATCAAATCTTTCTTTGCTGAAGATACACCTGTGACTGTCGTATCGTGCACGTGTTTTGTTAGTTAAGCGTCTACATGATGAAGACTTACCGGGAAGAACGAATACTCGTGGGTTGGTGCAGACCAATGCACGTGAAAAGACAGATGAATTCAGTGTGATATCATTTTTATTTGGTTACACAATTTCTGAGGATATCTGAGAAGGAACAGCCAGCTTCGCGACGTTTTTAGGTAAGTAGGTTTTAGTTTTTGAATTGGTTGCCGATTTAAAATGATAACCAGTTTAAGGTGGCTCAACACACCACGAAAAAATGGATAAAACCATTGAAATCTAACTATTGTGTTTCCATTCTCGTTTACCAAACAAAGCATGCACTAAAATGTGGGCGCTTCCTTATATACGAAAACCGGAAGGGGTAGTTAATGGCGACCATCTCAAAAGCAGTTTATAATTTGAACTTTAAACTTTTTTTTTTTATTTGGGTTGAGAACTTTCTAACTTGCAGTGTAGGTACAAGAGCATGGTCAGCTTGACCTCACACATTCCGAGATTACACTAAAAACTGTAATTTGGTCCTCAACACCATTTCCTCAAAAAATAGTTTCCAATGTTAACTTTACTTACCTGGAGATATGAAAAATGTCTTGGACAATTTATGATCCGCTAGACGCTTTATGTCTCGAGTCATGTTGACAACCCTCCCGGCAGTTGGTGGAACTCGGTAAAACCCCAATACTCTAAATAAATTAAAGGTAACAAATGTCAGTTCATATCCTTAGGTATACTTGTAAATAGCTGCATTTCGATAGATACATATCTTCATGATTAATACGTATGGACAGTTAATCAAGACACCAAATAGTTTGTTCAGTATCACAACAAACATCATAGAGGGTCGCAGGGTGGCCGTATTTGTTCGTTGAATGAACGACGTTTTTGTCTGAGGTGCAATACAAATTCTCTCATCCATTTCCGTGATTCGATTTCACACGAAAACGTCGTTTAAAACACACATTTACGAAAATAAATATTCTCAAAAAAATATTCGTTTAGCAGTATGCAAAAGGCGAGAGAACGATATTTTTTCAACAATATTCGAAAATACACGCACACATGCTAATTTATATAACTTTTTATCTACTACTGTTCAATTCTACATTATATGTATATTTACATCTGTACTCCGAGACGCGAGATGTGTAAAAGCTCGACCAATTCTCGATGCGAATAGTTACCAAAATATATTACTCACCAAAGATAGAATTACTAACAGTAATGTTTTTGTTTTTAGGTGTAGTATACATGTCATTCTATTTGATAAATATTTAGATTCTAAGCCTCATTGTTTTCAATCCCCATGGTTCCAATCATCACTGTTTTTAATACTACATGTATTACGCTTGTAATTTTTTTTTATAAAAAATGTGAAAATAAAAAACTGTTTAAAATATTAAAATAAACATCTGTTTCTATCAATTAATATCATCTCATTTTACCCAGTAATTGCATTTTTTTTTAATAATTTCTGTCAAACGTTCATGCTTTATAGAAGCATAATGGATAAAGTAAAAAATGTTGATCGTGCAGTTTAGACATAAGGATAGGGGCAAATCTGACCCAAATACATTTATACATACAAGTCTCATCACAATTGTCACTAATCTACTTTCTTAATTGTTTCTCGTAGAATTATAACCATATCTTAGTTGACACTTATGCCAGAACATTTCTCGTAAATAAAAACTAATATACAGTAAGCTGTTGTGCTTTTTTTGTAGATAATGATGAATATTCATTTATGCAAATGATCTATAAAAATAAGCACCACATGTGACGTGTGTAACCAACGACGACAGTATTTATTGTTTTTGCGTAAACGATTTTACAAAGTCAAAATTATTAAGAAATATCCTTTGATTAAGACATGTAAAACTGAAGATATTCATCGACATCTTAAAAACCAAACAAATATTCATGATCATTACTCAAACAACCTCTTTTGATAGTTTAATTCTAATTTAAAACTGAATATTTATGAATTTAAAAGTAAATGACGTAATATCAAAAAAAAAAAACTTATTTCAAAATTCCATATAAAAAAACCGCGCTGAACTGATTGAATATCCATATTGTAAACTACAGTAAAACCCCGCTAACTGGAACTCCAGATCAATAATTCGAGGAATACAATGTATTAGGATTTTCTCCTGTGCTTCTTGACGGGCGCCACATGCGGTGCAGATACGGAAACGGTGTGCTTGACGTCACAAAGACCAAAAGTGGTGATGTATACAGTAGAGTCAATCACATGGGATAGACAAGAGATAGTTGTCAAATATAAGAGTATAACGATCCAACGAATAGTTTACATAATAGATAGGAAGTCCAACACTATTATATATGTTGTATCACGTGTCTTGCCAGTGGTAAACACTTGTACGAGTTTAATACTGAAAATCACTTAGTGTCGGATATACCTTTTTGCTGTTAATCTTCCAACAGCATATTCGTAAGGATTTCAAGAATTCTGACTGTATAAAATCTCGCGCGATGTTTGAAATCAACTCTCATACACAACCTGGTCTGTCTTCGCGAACGAACCAAAAAATAGAAATGTAACGCGAAAAAGAAGTGTTTTGCAGCACATTGATGTGCACCATACTCAGTAACAAATTCAGTTAGATATTAACGGAAACATAAATCTCAACTTATCATTGTGAATGACCATTGTTTATTATTGCTGATCACTAGTCCTAGTGGTCAGTCTACTTGACCAATGGAGATCCGTACCTGTCAAGATGGAATGCGGCCACTTCCGCGTTATGGCGTTCGTAGTCACTGAAGTAGAAATGATTTGGGAGCGTTTCCTGTTCCCGGGGGTACCTGGAAAGATCAATGTCATATGGTAAACGACGTCATATCAATTGATAGAGTGACGTTATTTGATAAAATGACGTCATGTTTAGTCAAACATCAAGCATTTTGTCGTTAACATATGAAGAATATTTCTGTAAACAATGTCATTCAAACATTCTGTTATATGCCGGAGGATAGTAACCACGGGCCCCGTCTCCTTTGACTTTCTACATTTGCACATCATGATGAGTCTTTGGACATTTTATAGCTCCGTACTGTACATGTCGACAGGTAAGATAGAGCAGGGGAAACTAAGAACACTTTTTCTCTTTATTTACTTCAGAAAAACCTACATATGAAAAACCTATACACAAAAAACAGCACACTTTTTTTCCCAATCAATGTTTGTTTCCGGGGATATTCAGACAGTACTCGTATATTCCTGTCTATACTTACTCTAACGACTGAAATACTCGTTATACGACACCGTGAAATGTTACATGTATACATACAATTTTACGTCATGGGAGGACCCAAGAGGAATGTCAACCAAGTCTCATGGTTTCTGATCAGTGATAAGACCCCCCCCCCCCATTAGATATATATATATATATATATCTTGGCGAATGTGTTTCAGAAAATTGTCTGAATGGAAGCGTTCCGTCAATTCATACCTCACGTAAAATATTAAACAACACCCACTCGTGTATATTGGATTTCATGTCAACGAAATAGATACGAAACTGTCTGGGAGTGGAGAAATTGTTTTACACAGCATGGAAATTAAAAAAATTGAAATTCGATTTTTATTTTTGTGTGGTGTGAGCTTGAAATTTCGGATATAAAGAATTTAATCTGTTTTACGGAAAAGCTAGATATATATGTTACTATCAAATATAAATGCATCACATACGAAAATAATTATGATAAATTGATGTGTATTTTAAGTTGTAACTTTATCCTTATGCGCAATCCAACGTGTCGACAGGGGCATGATTAAATCTTAGGGGGGGGGGGGCAGGGTTAGGAAAAGGGGAGGGGGGGGGGAGGGGGAGAGATTAGAGAAAAGAGGAAAGGGGAGGGGGAGAGAATAGAGAAAAGAGGAAAGGGGAGGCGGAGAGGGTGGGAAAAGTGGAAGCGCAACCGGACTACTAATGATAGCCGTGCAGACGAAAATTACATGTTTTGCCGACAAAGGAAAACTGTACAGTCTACCTGTCAAAGAGAGAAAACACACCTGTGCACGAATTACTATTGTATTCAACTTCGTCTGAACTTATTTTATACAAATTTAAAAGTCCAACCTGTCTCGTTACGTAAGTTCCCACTACACAATGTCGATATGATTCACGTCAACCCCCACAATTCCTAATTTGCTTATAAAGGACATGTTTGTACCTTAAGCTCAAACGTCAGTCATTCACACGTTTATAGGCAATATAAATGAAACGAAATATCTCTCCTCCTTCAAAAAAGAACGTGAAGAGGGGTAAAGTAAAGGTTTAATATCAAGGTCAACGTCTATTGAGTGTGCAAAAACTATTTTTAGTTGAACAATTGTGTTTATCCTTGAAATCATCAGACGGAATGTTGAGGTATACGTTATCTAGTAACTTACATTTCAATGTCATTCTTTTTAACTATTGTTTCCTGTTGTAAATTGTCAGTAACATTACATATGATAAAGCTCACAGGTAAATCCAGGTGAGATGAAATCAAATGTAGCATAACAAATAAGCAACGTCATTTTCCCCGCACGGATACACGTGACGTACATATTATTAGTTTCAAGTAGGTTTACTTATTAAAGTATCTATATTTCGTCTTTTAACACATACAAACACATATTACATAGCGCTTATATGACAGACAGTGACCAGAATAGTCTCATTTGTCAGTTATTCCGTCTTTGCGTATTGTAGAGTTATCTACTCTTGTGGGCAGGTATTGGTTATTACATCATTTGTTTGTGAGAGTAACGTCATCAATTTTTGAGAAACGACGTAATTTTCTCACACAAACCAATGACGTAACAATCAATACCTGCTCACAAGAGAAGATAACTTTGCAATACGCATAGACGGAAATAGTCGTATACAGTTGTGTCATTCATAACAACCAGATTTATAGGCAAGTGTTTGCATAAAATATCACCTATTTATATTACACAGCACGTACACACTTTCGTCTATTTTGATAAGGCGAGCGTGCATTGTGTAACATTCGTGGAACACACCTTACCGACTTCCAGGAGTTGGCTGACGATACATACGTCTTACAGCTTAAAATTCAACCACCGCCGTAGGGAACGCTATCATAGTGTAAGAAGATAGATGTTATTGAAATTTCATTGTTTTCTATAGTTGAGTGATCGTAAAAGTCATTAAAATGTCTGCTCACCTCATAGGTTTAAACAATGCCTGTCCTTCGTCACTGAATGTTATGATTAGCTTCAGTTGTGTCCCGCCCTCTTTTTGTTCTGAAAAAAAAGGATTAAAATTGATTTAAATTGTGGTAAGCCTTTTAAGACTGATTTTTTTTATTTGTTTTTAATTAATATATAAAATTCTAAGAATCACGTTAAACCAAGAATATGTGATATTTATATCTTATCAATTGTACAAGGCCAACCTCGACCAAAGCCAGAATTGTTAATACGGAGCTCTGACAAATGTCGGGTCTACGAACAACACAGAGGCAAACACATATAGCAGTATTCTATGTTTAGCGTCGCAGTATGTCAAAAACATCCAGACGTCGGCGTCGGCACCGTTATCGACAACGACCGACTTTTAACGTCGATGTAAATACAAAACATCGACGTCGATGCCAAACTAGTAATACCATTGCCAACGAATCGAGAGACGCAAAAGAATAGGAAATAGTAAAAATCGACATCGACGTCGCCGAGGGGTTTGTATTCATATCGACGTCGCCGAGAGGTTTGTATTCGTATCGACGTCGACGAGTAGTATGCATTCAGATCGACGTCGTCGTGGAGTTAATACTCATATCGATGTCGCCGATGATTTTTCATTCATATCGACGTCGCCGAGGAGTTTGCATTCATATCGACGTCGCCGAGGGGTTTGGATTCATATCGACGTCGCCGAGAGGTTTGCATTCATATCGACGTCGACGAGTAGTTTGCATTATATCGACGTCGTCGTGGAGTTTGAATTCATATCGACGTCGCCGAAGGGTTTGTCACTATAGCTGGGTTGTTTGTATGTCTACGTAGCCGAGGAGTTTGCATTCATATCGATGTCACCGTGGGTTTTGCATTAATATCGACGTCATCGAGGGTTTTGCATTAATATCGACGTCGCCAAGGGGTTTGCATTAATATCGACGTCGCCTAGGAGTTTGCATTAATATCGACGTCGACGAGGGGTTTGTTACCATAGCTGGTTTGTTTACATACCGACGTCAACGATTGGTTCCTGGGCGACGTCCCTGAGTAGATCGTCGACGGTCGAGTCGTCTGGACTATAAAGATGGTACTGGTGAATACCTTTATGGAACCTCTCCCAGCTCGTCGTTAGGGACCTGTAATTAACACAAACTGTTAGAAACATTCACTGGCACCTCCCTCTCAGTATGGAATAAATGACGTCACATTATCAATACATAGACAAAATCTGATGTCACACTGTTAGTTACAATAAACACTGATGTCACAATTTCAACACAGAAACTAACGTTACAATTTCTATATGGATTTCGTCACAATTAAGTATACAAACCAAAGTCAGACTGTTCACAAAGAAACAAAAACATACGTCACATTGTCAGTACAGAAACCAACACTTACATTTACGCCACGTTGTCAATGTATAAGCTAACACCAACGGTATAGTCCCAATACAGAAACTAACGATGACATTGACAAAAGAAAAGCAACACAACTTGATTTTTTTTTTTTATAAAAGTCAATTAATGAAGAATTCAATGTTAGTCCACAACCACAAACAGCGCGTAACTATACATTACATTGTACAAAAAACGTCAATTACGAAAGTAAACAGGACATGTATGATATATATCACCATTAAACCATTTTGACATATATTTTGTTCATGTAAGAAGCTGTGATTGGCTGATATGAAATGTAGGTTTAGCTGGCATGTGTGACCTAAAAAATGTACAATAGTTACCATGAACTTTATACTTTTTATTTGAAAATACAAGGGGGAAACCACGGTACAGGGGCACTCTACATTGATAATCGTGTGTTCAGTTATCACCTCGTGTTACTTTACAAGCTGTAGTGATTATTCTCTGGGATTGTTTAGTATTTTTAAAGAGAATATTTAGTGTTTATTGGTTATATTTTTATATATTATGAACTGTTGTTATAAATCCTTTTTATTGGCTCTCAAAATTTTGCTATCTTATTTATATATTCATTAACGCTGACCATACTGATAAACAGTTGACATTTCTCACAAATTATCCCGAAAGCGTGGGGGTGTAACCAGCAATAACAGCTTTTTATGTAGACAGCGATATGGCTATATCGATAAATCCCAAACCATGAATATATACACTAATGAATGGTACGTGTTTGTATATCTGTTGGATATATATACATTGTGTATAATAACAAACTGACCAGTGTCCAGAGGTTTGTGAGTGGTCAGACAACCGACGTGATTACTGTTTTACGGTTCCCGTCACACTTTGTCCAGACTTTCATTAGTATCGAACATTGGCCATTCATCTACGTTTACTGAGACTGACCACTGGACTACGGCCCCACTGCCCAGTCTATATGACAGGCATTAAGTGCATTCTGCATATAACACACATAAACCTGATTACACCTGAGTTCTTTGATGTTTAAATTATTGCGTGTCCCTGGGGCTATTTGTTTGGTACGAAGCTTCACTTCCCGTAGGGCCCGGATGTACAGAAACACAACGTAAACACGACTCCTTAGTGTATCAAAAGTATTCCGCTTCACAGCTATGCATTAATAGGTTGTCATCATTTCCTTATCATGACGGATGCTTTGGACTTAAAAAGTAAAAAATAATATATATTAAGCACAAAGATCTGAAAAAGCGCAACACCTAGGCTTGTCAAAACACGGAACTAAATGCTATCTAAGTCCATGGGAAAAGTACGTTAAGGGGTGGGGTGGGGGTGGGGGTCATTCGCTTTTGATTATTTCTGGTAAAATTCGATGGCTAATCTTGATACGCACGTGCGCACGCACTTATACTGGTTGTGCGGTTATATGGTGCTCGTATAATATGCGCAGTAACAGATGTCCAGAACTCGAATGCATCCATGTTGATTAGCATAATGACGCACAAATAGACAAAATTAAAACACTGATATTATATTAAACAAAACAAAAATATGTTACGGGATTTCTGAAAAGGAACAACTTTAAAAAACCCATGATAAACCTATGGTATGGAAATCAAAATGGAACTATAGATTTGGAAATTGATTTATAATGATTAATAAAATGGATTTATATTGATGAATTAGGCTAATGAGGCTAAAATCATGTAAGTCCTGGACAACTGATACGGGGAAGCGTGCACAGAAATAAAACGGTTACCTCAAATTATTCTTGCGTTGAGCAAGCACGTCCTGTATCAATGCGTACTTCCGTTCGGGATTTATATATGGTTGCTTATGCATAAGTTTTATAAAGCTATAATTACAACAAAAAAATAATATTACATATAACATAATATTTGATATGCATATCTGTGCGTTTATGAATATATACATATATGATAACATAAAAATATTTTTTTTAAACATTTATCGCTTATGTGAATTTAACATCTCGGTAACAGTGTTTCATGTGTATGATGATATTTCATACCACTATTAGTATATGTGATTTCATGTAATTATCGCGAAAGGTTCGCCCGTCTTTTGTGTGTTTACTTCCCAGCATGTTTTACTCTCGAACTGCAGTGGGCACTGAGAATGTCATTCGCAACCCCTTCTTTAACATCGATATAACTTTAGTCGTTCGAGTTACACATGGGGTTATCGTACATGTATCTACTAATGTAAGTGTTGTCCCAACACCGTAACCCCACAGAACAATAGTACTGAACACAATATCTTCCTGGTAATATTCAGTCAGTCAGTTCAGGGTACCAATTTTTACTACCATACAATAAATATTTTAGTTCAAGAGCGCATTACATTCCTCTGTATATTTTACTGGTACAATACAGGAAATAGTACATAATTTCAATAGTTAATTTGTAATTTTTATTATGGAAACAAAATGATAATAATTGTACTAAGGTTCGAACACTGTTAGCATCACGCAATGTGACAGAAAACGCGACCATTATTGATATGTTGATATTAAAAAAAAAAAGAATATTGAAATCGATGAACAAATTATATTATTATTTTCAACTTTTATACGTATGCTATAGACACGTGCTGGACGCATGCTATATACGTATGCTATAGACACGTGCTAGACGCATGCTAGATAAATAATATCTATAGACGCACAGTATATATACATGTTATAGACGCATGCTATCGTTACATTATATAGACACCCACTTAAACAGACGTGTGCTATAGACACGTGCTAGACAAATGGTAAAGACGCATGCATTATACGTATGCTATAGACACGTGCTAGACGCATGCTGGATAAGTAATATCTATAGACGCACAGCATATATACATGTCATAGACGCATGCTATCGTTACATTATATAGACACCCACTTAAACAGACGTGTGCTATAGACACGTGCTAGACAAATGGTAAAGACGCATGCATTATACGTATGCTATAGACACGTGCTAGACGCATGCTGGATAAATGATATCTATAGACGCACAGCATATATACATGTTATAGACGCATGCTATCTATACATTATATAGACACCCACTTAAACAGACGTATGCTATAGACACGTGCTAGACAAATGGTAAAGACGCATGCATTATACGTATGCTATAGACACGTGCTAGACAAATATTAAAGACGCATGCTTTATACATATGCTACAGACACGTGGTATAAGCGCAGGTTACAGACATAATATACATTCATTAAAATACAATGAAAAAAACGCAGTGTCCTAGGAATTATTAATGTTAATGTCATTTTCAACACGATGGCTAAACATAATAAAAAGTTGTCATTAATTTGACCTTGAGTTTGACACGCTTTTCGCGTCATAAATTAATATTTACCATCGTATGTCATTGCCACTATATAACCCTACCAATTTCAGATGTGCTTCATAAATTCACGAAACAAATATGGACAGTTCTTATCATTAATACGCAACTGGTCGTGACGTCACTACCTCGGTTTGACAGAACCCAATACTGCATATCCGCCAACCGAGGGGAACGCCAGCAAGCAATTAATCAAGGACAACATTGTTCATCCATTATCGGTGTATTTGTTTACGTGTCGCTGTGGTATTCTGCATAGGCCCTTGGATGACCCCACGTTCGATGCGCATGCCTGACTTATGTATATTACAGCCAAGCAAATGTGCTGGAATCGGCTGGTCATCTCCCCTCCCTGTGGCTACTCCTGTTCCATCCTTGCTCAAGTCGATTTGTGACGTCAATACCATTACATGACGTCATGCGTGTTCAGTAGTTACCGATCTACAGGTAATGAATCTGACTTAGTAAGGTTTTTTTTTTATCACGTGTTTATAGTAAAGTTGCTCTCTTCATACCTGTAGTAAAGTTGCTCTCTTCATACCTACAATATTATCGACTAGTTTACTATCGGTAAGTTATGCCTCATTATGTAATAATACACGAGCTTGCCTCATTCTGAGAGTGCAATGCACGTGTAGACTTGAGCTGGGGTAAGTGTTTTACACGTGTAAACCGGTGTGTGGTAATGTATTTTACACGCAAAAGCCCGTAGGTGTTGGCGTGTTTATGATAGCAAACCCATGCGTGCGTGTGCGTTTTTCATGTGTGTACATATGGCTACTTTCCAGTGCACATATTTCACTCAAAGCATATGCCTTATTCATCAAGGAAAGTGATGACACGTGTTAGGGAGCTGCAGACAGACCCTTTGTAGTGTATGATATATAAACATAACCGGAGATATATGCTGACTGGGTTACACCTCGGGAGGCCGATAACGCGAGATAATACCCTGGAATTTCAAGTCCCATCCCATCATATTCCCGAAATGGTCTATTGTAACATTTCAAACTGTAACCATACGATTCTGGTCATTCTAGCATCGTTTTGAAGTATTGTTACTTTTTAAAATGTTGTTATCGCAATGGTAACGTTCGCGCGAGATTCATTTTCAATGTCGTAATTGTAGCATTGTCGCAAAGTTTATGTAACGACCGTACTTACTTAGTTTTAACAATATTTCTTTTCAACAGGTTTATTTCATAAATATGATTCCAGGGGGATAGAAAAACTGTATTCACATGTGTTACTATGTTACTTCACAACGTAATAGTTCAGCTTTCTTTACAAAATACATTACTACCAAAAACGACCCCCAGGCTAGAGAAAAATCCTTTCATAATTTCGTCATGGTTG